GCTCATACCCTAAGATCAACAAGTCCATTTCTCTGTACTTACTCTAGATAAACATTTGCATATTATGTACCAAAATAAGCAAATAAATAAATAAAATAAGTACTACAGAATTATCTGTGGCTGCACAAAAGAGGAAAGCCTGTAGAAGTCAAAAATAAGGGGTTGAATAAGTTGTAGTGCACACATATTAAGAACTAAGCTTCAAACGTTAAAAGGTATTAATCATGTGCATATATATATCAACATGTATATACATTCAAAATATTGCAATTGATAAAATATGTATATATGTAATATACGTATATATTCATTCTTACTGAATAGTTCTAAAGCTGTTGAAGGCCTTTACATGCGTGAAGTCGATGAATTTTCAGAACTACTCTATGAGGCAGACACTGTCATTATTCCCATTTTACAGGTGAGGAACTGAAGCCCAGGTCCTCAAACAGCTCTCTCAAAGCCACAGCCTATGCCCCTGTCCCCCAACCCCAGTCCATGATTTTGACTGCTCTCTGGGGCTGACTCAAAGAGGTCGCAGAACAATGTGCACAGCATGACACCTGAAATGTCAACTGATGTTTTAAAGGACAGGATGGAGCTACACTAAACCCATATAAATGTTTCCTTAGCCAGGAAGTTTGTAAGAGGGCCAGGATTGAGGGAAGAGAGGAAAGGAAAATAGCTTCATCTTCAATGTACTAATTTTTCATCCTAAGAAATAATGTGCTCATTTGTGATTTTTTAATCCATAATTATGCAACAAAAAAATGAAAGCGAATATATCAAAATGCTAAAAGTGGATGATAGTGACTAGTGAGAATCTGAGTAGTTTTCTTAGACTTTGATGCATTTTTCAGTTTGAAAGAAAGAAATATCTGGAGACAGAACACAAGAAAAAGAGAATGGAGTCAGGATATTTGCATTATTTAAACATTCCAAAGATGATTCATATGTTCAAGGACAGCCGTGGGCAGGCTGTGGGGTATAGTGCAGAGATCATGGGCTTTGGCACCTGATATTCCGGGTTCAAACTCATCTTCACTGTGCATCAGCTGTGTGATCTTGAGCAAGTTACACAACCTCTCAGAACCTCAGTTCCTTCATCCAGAAAACAAGAACACTGCAAGTTCAATAAGGATCAGATCAAGAATCTTATGTGCCTGACATCATATAATGTTGTTCCACAAATAGTAAAACTGGATTCTCTCCTTTAACTCAGTAATTCGAATGATCATAATTTTTCAATTTTTGTCTTTTCACTTATACACAGTAGACTCTATTTTGACATATTTACACAAGCATAGAATATATCTTATTCTAATTAGGATACCACTCTTGTGGTATCACAGTCAATATTTTGAGATTCACTGTGGTGTATTCATATATGTACATCTAATTTAACTCTGATTTTGCCAGGCTGTTAAAAAGGTATCAGAGTAATGCTGCCCTAGACAATTTCTTGAGTAACTGCTGAATTGAATTTTTTTGAAAAAAAAAATATACATACACCACACACACACACACACACACACACACTAACAACTGTTCACTCACCACCCAGTACAGTGTCCTGCTTCCTCCTCTGTACAATGGGTATAGAAATACCACTCAATGATTTGGACAGTTGAGATTCTGGATAATGCATCAAAGAATTCTCCCAGAGCACACATGTGCCCGCAACCCTCCTGGGTGCATTCCATCCAGTTCTAGTAACTTAATTACTTGCAGTTTGTTTATTAGATTGTAAACATCCTGCTCATTTACTATTATTTAATCTATTAACTCTGACTTTAGCCCGAGGGGCAACCTCTCGAAGAGAAAATGTGATTAACTGTCGAACACAAAAGTTGCCCAGAAGGAAGACTTTGCCACTCAGAAAACATGATTTCTTCTTGACAGATCTTGCTTGCTGTGGTTTAGCCATACATCCTCCATTCATTTGGATAACCAGGTTTGATTTTTTTCAAGAGGTTTCATTTTTTTTTAGAACAATTTTCAGTGGACAACAAAATGACATTGTATTTATACAACATGTCAGTGTTGCTCAGTGTTAGAGCATGCGCAAGGTCTTGGGTTCCATATCTAGCATTAAAAAACTAAAAGAAAGAATAGTACAGAGAGTTTCCACATACCCTGGCCCCAGCGTCTCTCGTTATGAACATCTTACGTTAATGCAGAGTATGTGTTATTATTAAGGCATTGATGCCACAATGCATTATGGTAAACTAAAGGCCATGCTTAATCCATATTTCTTGAGTTTGCGTCTAACCAATGTCCTCGTCCATCTGAGGAGCTCATTCAAGATGCCACAGACATTTCCTCTTCAAGTCTATTTAGGATCCTCTTGGACAGCTTTTTAGACATTCCTGGTTTTTAATGACCTTGACACTTTGAGGAATAGTAACCAGATAATTTCTGTAATGCTCTTCCATCAGGGTTTATCTGATGTCTTCCTTGTGGTTGGACAGGATTCTGGATTTGGGGTTGGAAGCGCTCAGGGATGAAGAGCCACTTTTACCACATATTCTTTGATCTTTTTTAACATTAAGAAAAGCTTTGTTTTAATATTAGGTTTCTTTTTTGACAATATCTATCTACTTTGGTCAAAGTGTGGTAAGGAAGTCTGCACTTGAGGAGTAGGAGCAACCACTTAAATTATTCAGAATTCCTCTGTGTAAGAAATCTGTGTGTTCTCCGCCTATTTACGTACTCATCACTGATATTTAATATCACTAGCAAATTCAGGGTAAAAATTGACTGGCTCAGGAATACTCCTTCAAATCCATGGTAAAAGAGTGAAGATTCTAATTTCCTTTGCTCGTATTTAAATCTAGTTTGATTCTTAATTGAACAATTAGTGTCTATTAAATCTTGGTCGGCTGATGATATAATCACATGCTCCCCTTGAAGAAACCATCCTGAGGGTCAGACAGAAATGTATACACTGAGAGGCGAATCAGTTCTACAGTGAAAGGTCAAAGTGTTTGGAAACACAGAGAAGACAGCAAGTTGTTCAAGGATGCTGGAAATAGGAGGTCTAGGTCTGAGACAAGGAGTGTCTCGTGGGTATAGAAAATCTGCATTTCCACAGAGCTCACTCTTGGGGTCTAAGGTGCCCACGAGTCCTCTTGAAATTCTTAACTACGTGTGTCTTTGAATTTCTGTGTGGTCAGCCAAGTCGGAGGGGACAGCCAAGCACGCACCAGGTGTGTGGAGTCCCAGCTCACCTGTAACCCTGCCTCTGTCCCCTCCCTACTTCCCAGCAGGGAGTATAGGGGACTTGTTCCTAGCTCTGTACCAAGGGCCCCACCCAGGCTCACCACATCACCATAGTCGTGACCAGGTGGCAAGAGGTCGAGAGGGACAGGCACATTCCTCTGTCACCCTCCCCGCTCATAGATTTGGCAGGTGGTTGGTGCATGATTTGGTCCAATGTGAATCTCTTTTCCAGGGCTTCAATCTCTTGGGGGGTCACCGTCACTGTGAGGTGGTAACAGCAGGCCCAGAAGAGGGGAGATGGTCTTTCTCACCAGTAATAGGAGCTTGGCTGTCAGTCCAGCAGCTGAGGGGCCACAATGCCCAGGAAAGATGAAGACAACTAAATAACAAAAGCCACCGAGACAGCACAAGAGAGAGATTGCAGAAGAAATGGAACAGTTTTATGTTTTGGTTTTCTTGACGGCACTTTTCTTCAGTTTTCTTAAAGTGCCTTTTCATGTCTGTGGTATATAATAAAGCCAGTCTTGTCTGGGGCAGTACTGAATAGCAGTTAAGGGAGTAGGTCTTAGAGTCGGAATGCCTGGGTTCCAATAATATCTCCAGGATCTGTGTGACCTTGGGCAAGTTACTTGACCTCTCTGAACTTCAGTTGTTTTCCCTGAAATATAGAGAAAGAAATAGCCCCTACCTCATGCTATAAAAATAAGATTGAATGAGATCATGTCTGTAGAGCTGACATCACTGAGAGACGTTCCCACACTCTACCCCAGCTCCACAGCTACTCAGACCTTCTGCTGGATCTTAAAGAAGGCAGCTTTTCCTTACAACTTCTGTGTAGCCCCCACACTTCACCAAGCACTGAGAAATCCATAGGTTTCCATGCGATGTCTCATTCTACCCAGCCAGATACTCGAAGGATTTGTTGAATGTGTGATCAAACCAATGTGTCAATCAGCTGAGAGGTCAGAGAAAAATGGGTACAAAGCAATGTATCCTCAGGTAGAAAAAGTCCCAGCTAAAACATTGGCAAAATATTTGGGAGGAATCTGGGTTAGGAAGACATGCCCAGCAAAAGCTCAAATCAGCATTTCCTAAATTCTGTTCCAACATGTTAATATATGTCCTAAAAAGTAAGAGTCCACGGTGATAAGCTTGGAAAACAGTACACACGTTTCCCATTTAAACTAACGTGATATACTTTAGCATTTTATAGACTCTAAAATTCCTAGAGTAAAGAAATCAGATAAAATGATACAACCCCAAGTTTTCCAAGCACATTGATCATGAAACCCCCTTTAATCATAAGACCTCTACTACCAGTATTTTCAAGAACATCAACTGTTTTCAAGAACAGAATTTGGATTTAAGCTGTTTGAGGAAGGAATGGTGTCTTACTGTTATCTTCTGCCTAAACGTACAAGATAATCAAAATTAATTTAGAGAATAAAAGAACAAATGGTTCTTCATTTCATTTTTGGCTGGTCTTTAGTTACAATCCTATATAACATTTATATAACATGCATCTAGGCATTTTACAAAACACAGAATCCCAGTTGAAAACGACAAGTCACATACTGTCAGCACCATACTATGAATATTTAAACTAAAAAGCTCAGAGATTGTGTGACTTAACAAGAGTTGTACAGCTGGTTAATGTAAGGGCCTGAGCTAAAAATCGAGCCTTCAATTCTATATCCTATTTTTTTCAATGCATACAATTATAAAATTCCTCAAAAGTTTGCTATGCCATTATTCAAGACAAAAATGAAGAGAGCACTTACCTCAAATAAGCGCAAGACTTTGGCCAGTGCACCAACTTCTTCTTTGAGCGAGAAAATCAGTGATATGGAGCCATTTTGAATGGAGTTGTCTTCAATGTAGCTTGTTTCCTACAGAATCAGATGCACTTGGTTAAAGTGTTTTTCATCACTTAGCAATTCATTCCCATGAAACCAAGTAGGAATACAATGTTCTTGTATTTTTTCTTAAGCCTTGGAATACAATGAGCTTCATGTATTCTAAACAGAAATATGTGGTGGTGTAGAAAATAAGTAAATAAAGGGCAATGGAATGGTCAATGATACTCCCAGGTCAGCTTTCAGTTTTAAGAAGTTTCCTTTATTCATGACATCACCAAGAATCGATGTCTTTTAATGAGCACTACTAAATGTCAGGCATGATTTACTTTGTATCTTTTGGAGAGATGCAAAGATGAATAAAGTGTTTCCACCTTTTAGGAGCTACAATCTGACTATAAGACACTCAAAGTAAATCAAAAGATCCTCAGAGGTGATCAAATATGGTTCAAAAAGTATCCCAGGAAAGCATTGAGAAATAGATTGGAAAGTGCTAAAAATAGAACACTGGCAGGCTTTCGAGTCCATGACCTGGTTTGGAACCCTCTCTTTTTTTATTTATCAGCTGTAGTGATTTGCATGCAAATCACTTAGCCTTCTTAGTTTCCTTGCCTATAAATGCATTTTATTGATAAGGCCTAACCAATCACTATTCAGATGATATAAAAAGAAGAAGTTTCAATAGAATATTAAGAGAAGTATATGAAAACCATGGAAATATCATAAAGTACACATGAATGACCTCTCAGCCTTTGGCAGGGAAAAACAACTCAGCATGAATTTGTTGCCACGTACTGGGATCTGAGGTGTCCGATTGCTGAAATAGAATTGCAAACTACACAAATAACCTATCAGAAGATGGATGCCTTTCACTAACTAGTGAAGAATGTGTCAGGGATCTAGCACATACTCTATGCGTGTGACATGCACACCGAGATGGGATTAGAGTTGACAGTCCGTGAGTTTGCCAACAGAGTTCCTGGAGTTTTTAAAAATCATATGTAAAATTCTGAGTGTGCCCATAAATAGGCAGCATGTTCCCCCAAAACAGGAAGGAGAAAAATGTGCAGAACAATTACTCTCTTGTAAGCAAGTTAATGAGGTTAATGGGGGCGGGTGTTACATCATCTCAGTGACAGAAAGCTACACTGGGCAGATTCTTATCAGTGTCTCAGGATAATAGCCCTACATGAATACTGATGACCCTTAGGACAAAATTCTTTGGATTCAGAGAATTCAGAGTTTCCCAGAAGTTCACATGAAACAGGAGTATGGGGAATTTATCAGCAAGTAGGACTATAGGGTGGTTCAAATAAAAGACTGGACTGTTACATATCCCTGTTTGGACCAGATGTTATCTTTCTTAAAAATTTTTAATCTGTCATTAATAATTTTTTAAAAAATTATAAGCAAATAGCAGAACCATCAGTAGATTGGCGGGAAAGGTGCAGGGGAGGGAGGAGGGGAGGAAGAGGAGGATGTATTGAGGAATGAATTAGAACAAATTATATTCCATGTTTTTGTAAATGAATTCTATTGTCATGTATAACTAAAAAAAAAAAAAAAGTAGAAAGAATCTGTTGTGTCCTGGGTATTGTAAGCACTTGATTTGGAAAAACATCTATGACTAGGTTTGATTACGTACCAAGTTCCCCCTTCAACTGTAGAGGGTAAGGAACTGGCCCACCGTGTGGCAGTTAGCGGGGGAGCTAGGATCTGAACCTAGGAGACTTGATCCCTGTGTACTGTGCAAGGTCACAACCTGCTGCAGACTCTTACCTCCCACTTTGAAACCCTGCCAGGGGCCAGGTGAAATGGCACATGCCTGTAATCCCAGCAGCTTGGAGGCTGAGGCAGGAGGATCGTGAGTTCAAAGCCAGCCTCAGCAATTTAGCAAGGCCCTATATAACTTAGCAAAACCCAATCTCAAAATAAAAAGGGCTGTAGATATAGCTCAGTGGTTGAGCACCCCTGGCTTCCGTCCCTGAAACCAAAACAATAAAAATCAATAAACCCTCCCAGGGATGTGCCCATGAGTCTGATTTCAGTCTCCTTCCTACAGAGAGCATTGAGCCCTTAATCCTTTCCAGTTTCCTTCAAATAGCAAAGGGTTTCCCTGTTTCTAATTCACTTGGCAACTTTCTGTCTCCTGTTGACCTCCAAGAAAAGTAGGATATTCCTGATATGCCTCCACAGATCTCCCTTCCACGAAGGCAGTGAAGTCTTAGATGTCCCTGTGGGTGAAGTTCAGCTACCCATCTCCCACCCCACTCTCACATGTATCCAGCCGATCAAGTTCACTGCAGTCTTCTCCAGCAACAACCTTAGAAGTTAGTCTCTTTTTCTGTTCCCACAGACATCATGTGAATCCTGCTCTCTGTGGTCTATCTGCATTGATCCCGCTCCAACAGAATTTTGCCCATGAACTTCTGTGTTTTCAAAACCATTCCCAGTGATTTTTAATAATGGAAAACCTCAAAACCATGGATAAATACATAGTCCGTTTTTAAATTATGACTTTTCTCAAATGTGTCTGCAAATGTGCATTTATCATATGATAGGGTGCTACTCTGTCGTTATTAGTATCAATGCTCAGTACCTGTCCCTGACTGGGTACCCCCTTTTTGCCAGGAACCCTACTGAGTACTTTTTTCACAGATAATTTGCATCATCGTTGGTAGCAGGTAGCACTGTTCAAAGGGTTTGAATGTCACGGCTCAGTGAGTCCTGAAGTAAGAACAATATTTTGCAAATGAGGAAGAGGCTCAGCAAGAACATCCAGCTAAAGAGCAGCAGGGCTAGACTTGAACCCAAGTCCAGCAACCTCAATGCCCTTATTCTGCCTCCCAGTGGCAGACTCTGAAATGGCACAATAGCTTCCTCAATGTAAAGTGTGAGATGTGTGTGTGTGTGTGTGTGTGTGTGTGTGTGAGAGAGAGAGAGAGACTCTACCTCTGAGCTACATCTCTAGCCCTTTATTAATTTTATTTTGAGACAAATTCTCACTAAATGTGGAGGCTGACCTTGAACTTGTGATCCTTCTGGCTCAACCTCCTGAGTCACTGGGATTATAGGCAAATGCCACCACATCTGGCAGAGGAGGGACTTTAAGTGAAAGGAAGCTCTTAGTAGTTTGTGAAATGGTGTGGCCTTCAATAAATTTGGAGTCTGGATTCTGATACTGCTGTTCTGCTCCAGGCAATCAGGGACCCTTGATCAAAACTCTTTTGTAGTAGACTTTTATTGGCTTATAAACTATACCTTATTTGTTTCCAACAAACATGTGCGTGGACTTATCCACACTTGTGCTCAGGATAAATAAAAGATTGAGTAAATCAGTTCCAAAGTTACATAGGAAGAAACAGAGCCAGGGGAGAGAATTTTACCAGGAACCAGGATGCAAAGAATTTTGATCATTGAGAAATACAATAGACACAGAAAGTTCAACAATAGACACAGTATGTTCTTTTTGGTTGTGTATATCAAATGCATTCTATTACCTTTGGAAAAGAGCTGATTTCGAATTTATAAGCAATCCACTTTGGCAAGGATATTCTGGGGATACTAACTTTTTAAGGTTAGTGCTTTGGGGGGTTGTGGAGGAGGTTTGTATTTGCAGGTGTGATCAAAGAGATAGAAAGAGATCTATACTATAACACTACTGAAAACAAGATACCGATCTTCTGTCTCAGTGTTATCTCCGTTGTATGGTATGAGTACAGCATATTTCTATATTCTAGCATTTACCTACAGGAGGAAACATTATAGTAAAGAAATGTGCAGTTTGGGGAGTCAGAACTAGGTGGTTTTCTTTTTTTTTTTTTCTTTTGCCATTCATTGATGTGATTTCTGTGTTGTTCACCTTCTATCCTATTGATCTGATCCATTTTTCTTCACTGCATTCATCTCTATATGACAGCATATGTTCATTTTGTTAATTTATTATTGTTTATCTCCTACACTAAGATAAAATTTTTGCCAGAAAAAAAAAACCACTGTGACTGGGAAAAGCAGGTGCTCAATGAGTCTTGGTCGTGTGGATGATTGTTGTGCTGATTGCATGAATAAGGCCCTGATTTACTATATGCCCCAGGAAAATGGCTCCTTCACCATTCGGCCTTATGTCTCATAGGGATGTCTAGTGTGTGCTGCTTATCTGAGTTGGGAATTTTAAGAAGGCATAAACTCTGTCTCTTTAGAAGACTGTCTGAGATGGAGGGAGTCCTATAGAATAATCTAGTCCAACACTTCCCACCTTGATCTTACACATACCCAACTGAGTCTCCTCATCTCAGCCAAGTGACTTCCCAAGGCAGCTTAAGTAGGTCAAGGATGAAAACCCACGTCTCCCCACTGCACGTCCAGCATGCCCCTCCTGGGCTTCACTAGGCCTGGTGCCTGACCTGCTATCTCTCCTTCCTGCCAATATCGGAGCTGCATTTTATTGAAAAAACAAATTGGGTCTGGTGCACACATTCTCACTTTCCAGTGCTCCAGAAACTATACTAAGAGATTTCTAAGCATTATTTTATTTAATTCTCATATAACACTAGGATGTATTTTTATTCCTAGTTTACAAATGAATCAACCTGAGACTCTGCAAAGTAAAATATCCTGCTTTTGATGCAGAGGTTGCACCAGAGCACACTTGGAACCCTCCTCTTTACTAGTGCCTCTGTTATTGGTGGTGATAACTGGTGTGTCCTCACCTCAGTGCTCAGATGGCTGCCCTAACTCCCTCCCAGGGCTATAGGGTCCCCACCTCCAGCCACACAGAAACAAAATGGAGGACAGGTCAGTTCTAGGACCTGCCTGCACCACGCACCACCCCTCTTCAACACTAAGTTCTTCTGACTCTGGTAGACTATACACCATTTTCAAAGGTGATCTATCTCCCGGGATCCAAAAGGAGCCAGCCCAAATTTCAGGAGTCTCTCCAGTTATATTAACTTAAACATCAATCCTCCTCTCCTCTCCTACCTCTTTCCTCTCTGTGATAATCCTCCCTGTCACAGTCTAGATCCCCTCTGGGATCTGCTCTCAAGTCCTGGAGTAAGATTTCCTGCCTATCAAATTATAGAATGCATTCTGCACCTGTTCACCTCGAGAGAATGACAGCCTCCTGAAGAATGCCACCCTCCCTGGCAGCATCCCTAGTCACATTTAGGATTCTATTACTGTCTGTGCTGACTCTTGTTCCATCTCCTCTCTGCTTAATTTGTCTCTCCCCAGATCTGAGCAAGTCTCCAGATCCTCTTTGTTAGGTGCAGGACAGGCTGAGTAAGCTGTCTGCAGGGCATGCCAAACAAAGTTAGCTGCAGGATGACCTGGCTTCTCTAACCCTCCGTCTGGTTCTTTATCACCTGTTTGCTTCAAGCTCAAACGCCCAATCCCCGGCTCAAGGCTGAACACGTAGCCCGCCACTCAAGGCCGAGCACTTAACCCCCTTTTGTGCCAACAAGGCAGCTTGCAGACCCAGACCCTGTTAGATTTAGGCAGCAGAGCAGAAGGGCTATAAAAGCCTTCCCCAGCTGCCCCCCCACACACACACACACACTTCTTTCCTTCTTTCTTTTCTCCTCTGTTGCACTGCTGCAATAAAGATCTCTTGGTTGCTCCGAGTGTTGTGGTCACTTTCCTTTCACTCTTCATGTCCCATCTGCACCCCAAAGTGAAAGGAATTCTTACAATTTGTCCATTTCCGTAAGTGACAGGGAGTCCATTATAAACATCATAAAAGAGATCTAGAAGGACCCTCTACCCCACCCAGGTCATTAAGGACCAGCCCTTTCGGTATACAGAAGAGAAAGCAAGAAACAGAAAGGTTCCAATGACACACAGCAGGTTGGTGGCAGTGCTGAAAGTCAGATCCCCAACCCTTGAAGCAATGCTTTCTTCCCCTGAAGACCACCCAGGACAGATATGCTTCCATTTGGAAATAATTATTGAGGACAATCTTTATATATTGACTTCCTAAACATTCCCAACATCTTCAAATGAATTCAGAGATCTTGGTGAGCTTCTGAAACTGGGAAAAACCAGAAATTTTTCAGATCTGTTTAGGATCCAAATTTCCCTACCAGAGTAGCTGAAGCCCCTTCTGGCTCACCTGTCCAAAGTCGGAGAATTTTCTGCCCATGCCTTGCGTCTCCAGGACCACAGCCGACATGCTGGCTCCCCGGGAAGTGAGGTCTCTGAGTCTGGGCTGCAGTGGCAGATAGGTTTGCAACCTGAACAAACGTGGAGCGAAGGGTTTTAACCTACATCAGGGAGGAGACCAGGTTCCAAAGGGTGCCTCCTGCTGCACAACAAGCAAGGTGACACCCCTCTGGTGGGCGTTGTCCTGACGCAGAGAGTGAGGGCAGCCCACCTCCCGCTCCAGGTCACCTGCTCTGGGCGGCCAGGAGGGGAGGACTCCAGGAGGGTGTGGCAGACACTTGGCACTGGGCAACCTGCCCTGAAGGGAGGAAAGAAGTCAGAAAGTGCAGGGTCATCGGTGTCCTGGTGATTAGACAGGTTTGACACTTCTGGGACTCTCAGAATCCTGGAGGGCAGGTTCTGTACAATTGGAATTAAACCTGAGACAGCTTGCTGATAACAAGCATGTGCACAATTCCCCCTCCCGCAATCAAGCAGAGCCAGGACTCTAATTTAGATTTTCTTTTTGGTCCCTTTTATTAACCACTGAGTGAACGGCTTTGCTGTGATTTGTCTTTAGAGAAGCACACGTGGATGACATTACTAACACTGAGCACAGGAGCCACCAACCAAAGGTAAGAGCCACCTAGACTAAAATCCACCCATGTGTTCTTCAGCTACCTGTGTAACTGCTGGGGGCTCTGAAGAGAGAATTGTAGCAGCACCTTGCTGGAATATTCATGAATAACAGGGAGAAGGGGTGTATTCAACATTTAGTAGCCACTTGCCACCTAATTCAACATTCAGTAAGTGCAAGATAGTATTTAAAAGTATGTCCACTGTGTGTATATATACCACATTTTTTAACCATTCATCTACTGACAGGCACCTGGGTCCAGAATATGACTTTTGTGAAATATAACCATTGATATGGCCCTATCACAGTAGTATGCTGATTTTAGTTCTTTTGGATAATTACCAAGGAGTGGGATGACTGGGTCATGTGGTGGTTCTATTCCTAGTTTTTCTTGAGATCTCCATATGGCTTTCAAGAGTGGTTGTACTAATTTGCAGTCCCACCCACAACGTATGAGTGTGCCTTCCCCCCCCCACACACACATCCTGGCCAGCCTTTATTATTATTTGTATCCTTCCTAATTACCATGTCATAGAGAATGAAATCATGGCATTTGCCAGTAAATGGATGGAAATGGAGAATATCATGCTAAGTGAAATAAGCCAGACTCAGAATGTTTTCTTTCATATGCAGAAGCAAAAGCAAAGTAAAGGGGGAAAAGGGGGAGAGGATTGCATATCATAAAGACAGAGAGAAGATCCGTGGAGGAGAGGAAGGAGATTGACTGGGAGGGAGGAGGGACAGGAAAGGGAGGAAATGCTAAATGAATTTGACCAAACTCTACTATGTGCATGTATAAATATACCACAGTGAATTCCACCTTTATGTACCTCTATAAAGCACCGATTAAAAATAAGTAGATAAATAAACAGAAGGAAGACCAGTAAAGTAGAGGAAGGGGAGTGGGGGAAGGGAGGAAGAGAGGGAAAGAGGAGGCACCGGGAACTGAAATGGAGCACATGAAATTCCATACCTGTTCGGTTATGTCAAAATGAACCCAATCCCTTATCCATAACTAGAAGGCACTAATAAAAGCAATTAAATTAAGGAAAAATAGGTGGGGAAAATCATGAATGAGATCCCTTTTTTAGGGGGGCTAGGGTTGTGGCTGGAGGCACTGGATAAGATTCTCAGCACCACATAAAAATACAAATAAATTAAATAAAGATTTTTTTTTTTAAAAAAGAGATCCCTTTTAAAAAATGCCCACATAATTTGACAATGAATAGCCACTGAGGACATGTGCTGTGTACCAGGTGGTGTTCTAGGCATTGGGAGCAGAACAGGTGACCTGCCATCGCGCCGTTCTGGTGGGCAGACAGGAAATGAGCAGGTTCAGGCAAGGCTGTCTTCTGAAGGAAGTAAATCAGGGGGTGGGTGAGCAGTGTGAGCAGTTGGGTGTTGGGGAATGGTCTTCAAATAGGCAGGAAGATGTCACTAATCCCATTCCTTCAGATGAGGAAACTGAGGGGAGTCATTGGTTGCCAACAGAAATTTAAAAAAAAAATATGAAAAAAAAATGCTGAAAAGGCAGAGTTTCAGGAAAGATATGAAAGATCAGATCACCAAGCCCCTGGGTACCTGCTTAATATTTACCCTGGTGAGGTTAATGGCTTGTGAGAAAACAGGCCAATAATCGAGGTGGCTAGAAGTCCACCCTCTCCCCTCCCACAATTCAAGCATTTGCCAAAAAAAGAAACAAAACATTTCCCAAGGTTGGGATTCAGAACAAGTAGGTGAGTTCCTGGCCCTACCACTGAATAGCTGTATGGCTTTGATCAAATCCATGCTTTACTTTCTTTGTCTTAAAAAAGGCAATTTTAAGGGCTGTGGGTTAGGATTCCTTGAGCCTCCACCACGTGCCAGGCTTTCTACTGGCTGCTAAGAATAACACATAAGAAGTATCGTGTCTGTCCCAAACAAGTCATTGCATGTCCAATTAGTATTCCCTGGGGTAGGTCGGAAGCTCAATGTTGAACATGGAAGGAAGGCCAAGACCTTGACTTCCACAATCAGGAGAATCTGTATCCTTTTTCTGACTTCAGTATTTATTCTAGTTTAGTATGGTTTGCCTGAGCTCCGTCCAGGACTGCCTTTACAAGCCCCATGTCATGACTTAGTGTGGCTGATGTACAAGGGGAGCAAAGACTGACAGCACCTGCACTCTAGCTACATAGAGTAAACAAAATTACAAGCCCCATGTCATGACTTAGTGTGGCTGATGTACAAGGGGAGCAAAGACTGACAGCACCTGCACTCTAGCTACATAGAGTAAACAAAAGCAAACAGTGATGGCCACTTATGGGTCTGCACAGTGCATATTAGACACTGTGCCAAGCTCTCTACATGCATGATTTCTTTCCCTCAGCAATCCTATGAACTATGCATCCTCTTGGATCAGGGAAGACAGGCCCAGGAAGTTTAAATCAATAGTCCAAATGCAAACAATGTTGGACCCGACTCCAAGTCCCTGGTTCGTAAATGCTCTTTCTTTTTTTGAAATGGGGACCATGTGGCTTTAGGAGAACAAAATGGTAGTCATTCTCTTTCCCCTGTACACCTGCTAAAAATGGAGTTCTTACTCACATAAAGACACTCAAGGTCTGGATTGAGAGGAGGACACACTTAATTGCTATCTCAAAGAAAAAAAAAACAGAAGTAGTTTTCTCAATCTCATCTGCATAAATAAAAATTATTCTGATGAAAAGAGAGAATTTATTTATGGACCACAGCAAAAACTCAATATGAGATTGCTCACAACATAAACTTTGAAGAGGACTCAATGGGACACAGTGTGTTACTGTAGCTAACAAGGGGGATGCTGGATACCCAGGGAACCAAGGTGGAAGCACCAATCCAGAAGGAATGTCCATGTTGACATTCCTAGATTTTCAGTCTCTCCACCACTGAGATCCTGTTCATGGCTGGGCAGATGTGGGCACCATGTCACCAGATGAGCAGTTGTGTACCTGTCAATCTTGATGATGACCTTCGCTGATTTGAAAGCTGAAGATTTCCCAATCGTTGCTGGGTTACCATCTCCTTTTTATGTAACCTCACACGCAGGGCAACGAGTAACCATGATCCATGAGGTTGTGGCACACAATCAAAACATACAAGACTCTTCATTTGTTTTACTTATTCATTCTCTTTGATCTTGACTCCCCATTCCCATTGCCTTTCCCCCACATGAATATGTTTAATAGTGTATGTTTATGATAAAATGTTGACACACCTGTGTATTTTTTATTGCTATGTAATGTTACACTGGATTTATTAGAGTGAGGGTACAGATATACTATAGATTTCATAGCTTCTAACATTCTTCTTTGCTCTGTATTCTTAGGATCTAGTCTTGCTTAGATCCAATTCTTGCTTGGTTATTTGTTTATTGGGGGGCAGATTGTTCCTCCATGTGAATCCACCCTATTTGACTTCTCTATTCTCCAAGATGGACACCTAGATTGTCTACGCCAGAAAACACTGAGATAAACATTCTCATCCTTGCCCTCTTCTACACCTGGGAGAGAATCACACTCCCCTCATTTCACTAAGTGCTGCCAGTTTGTCCCTCAGATCATACCAGTCCACACTCCCACCAGCAGGTCCAAGGGCTCCTGTTATTGAGTGCCCCTACTCCTTAGCTTTCTCCAAAACTGAGACTTTTTTCTCAATCTCATCTGCATAAAGACGTGTCTCTTTGCTATTTTTAATTTGCACTTCTCACATAATTAATGAATTTAAGCATCTCTTTTGATATTTAGGCCTCCTGGATTTCTCATGCTGTGAATCACGGATCATCATATCTTTGCTTATTTTCTACAGGGATTTCTGTCTTTTACTATTGGTTTGCAGAAGTCATTTGTACAGTGTGGATATGAACCTGTGCCTTCGACAGTAACTGAAGATGTTACCTTCCCATAAATCACAAGTTAACTATCATTTGGGTGTCCCTTAGGGAAAAGAGTAACAAAACTAGGAGATTGCATTGCAAATTATTTAGCTATTATTGGCCTATTCATGTTTTCTATTTCTTCTCATTTTGTATTTTTACAGAAATTAATTCAATCTGTCAAAGTCTCAACAAAATGAACATATTACTATTTTTAGCATTATTTTCTTAATTTTAAAGCTGTATTGTGCACATTTATCTTTCTTTTTTATTCTGTATTTCATTTATTTGAACCTTCTCTCTTCTTGCCAGATGTCAATCTGGCAATCTCCATTAAAAATCGGCATTTCATGAAACTTCCCTGATGCTTGTGCTATGTTCTCTTTTCTCAATTTCTCTACGCTTGTTCTTATTATTTCCCTGCTTGAGTTTGCCTTGTTGGTCTCTTCCCAGTTTCTTGGGTTGAACACTTTTAACTCACTTGTCTTCAACATCTGTTTCCTGATAAATGCATTTAAAATGCAATATTTCTAAGCACTATTGTAGCTACATCTCCGGTATTTGATAATTGATTGTTCTAATTAATGTTCAGT